AAAAATTAATTTAAAAGTTTAGAATGTTGATTAAAAAAGGGGGTGATTTTTTTCTTTAATTCTCCAAGGCACAATACAGCAGAAAAAAATAACAAACAAACAAACAAAACAATAGAGACACTCCTTCCTATAGGAGCCCAAACCATTTGCACAGCAGCAGAAAGGCTGATTTTTAACTTGTGAGAGGCAGAGCGGGCAGGATTCATGCTCCTTCCCACTGCCGTCAGGTTTAATTCATGCCTTCAGAGAAACAGAAACAATCCCCTGCCAGCAACTCCCGGCAGCACCTTGAGGAAAACCCTTCCCCTACCTACCGCAGCAAGGTGTCAGAGGTGTTTTCCAGCCTGTTTCTTATCGAACCATATTTATATGCATGAAAATACATTAGTAAAATATACAGATATTAGATTTGGTTATAAAAATAAAGCACTCCAGGTGAACAGAGGGGAAGCATCGGGTATTGTCACCGCCTGGTTCCCATCCCCATGACACAGAAATGCTGGCAGATGAGAGCCAAGAGGGGCTTAGGTTCCACAAACCAAATGAAAACACAAACTCGTGTAAATAACCAGGGGGTTTCACTATTTGAACCCCCCAGCACCTCTCTGGGACTCAACTGCAGCTACAAAAACTAGATTTTCTACAAATTTTAAGGGGGGGGGGGGGGGGCGGGGAACAATTAAAACATAACCACGTGAGGCTCTGTTCCCTGCCAAAAATCGCATTATAAACATAAAAGCTATAATCTACAGTGGCAAAGGCATGGCCCCCCTAACCAGACACAGTAACATAAAGTGGCAATGTTTTTAGCTGAAAAAAAAAGATGTCATCTTAAATTAGATCTCAATAATCTGATGAACCTTGGGAGCCCAGCTGAAATACAAAACTTGGGAGCCAGCTGAAAACAGACCAATGCAAAATAAATCAGCATTTATTTCTGGTCTGTTTAAATATCTTTTTTCTTTTAAAACTCAGAAGGAAAAGTAGCAGCACCCCAGCCCAATGGAGAATTTAGGTGAAGAGTAATTCCTTGTTTACATCCCCTTTATACACGGTAAAGGTCAAGTCCTGGTTCCATACTATCTCCCAAAACTCCAGTTTCTGACTCCATCACTCTTAAAAAGTCATTGTCAGACCAGCCTAAGGCTGCTGCAGACTCAGGTTAGAAATACTACAGCTGGGATATTTTTT